AAAACAAAGAAATTGTGAGAGCAAGTAAGAATTAAGTACCGAAAAGACATCCGATGGACCACATATCGACGTCGGTAGAGTAATGAGTTGAACCGAGCAGAACTTCCAGTGCTCTGTACCAGAGTAACAATCTCGTGCGTGTAACTCTTGCGAGGTACAGTGAAGGCACAGCCGAGTCCAAGATCGGTGATCTTCAAAATCCCTCTTTCCTTGTCCAGAAACGATGGCGTTACTGGAGAGGAAGGAGAGAGAGAGTCCCTGTGATTTGTGGTTTAGGTAGGGTAGGGGTTGGAGTGGTGGTGGTGTTGAGGGTGGCTTTGGGGATGAGAAGGGACCGGAGAGAGAGAGAGAAGAAGCAGAGGGAGAGGTGGAGGCGTGAATTCTCTGTAGAAGAGAGAGAGAGAGAGAGAGAGAGAGAGAGAGAATGAATGAATTAAATATAATTAATGAGATGAGAGAGAATGAATTCTTAATTATAATTTCAATATATAAATATAAATTAAAGAAAAAAAATATTGTTTTGCCATGTCAGATGTAATCTCAACCATAAAAATTGGAGTAATCTAATGGTCCAAAAATTGTGTCAAAACTTGTGTCAAAAATATGGTGCCACGATCCGCCCCCATAAAGGAATACATAAACTCATAACCCAAATGCTAACAGGGTCAATAAAGAACGAACCCATAGCCCATGGCCCGTTAGACAAAGAGCGTGCTGATACTGTTTGTGGTAAAGCACAGAGAGAAGCAAACTGAAGACGCAGTGCTTGCCGTCATTTGTTTCACTCTCTCCCTCGACATGCTTGCTTGACTCAATCGACAGTTTTTGGTGTCAAACGCTAGTAGCAGCAGCTGCAGCATCGGTTAAGGTACCACTCTCTGTTTCTCACTTCTCTGACTTTCTAGTAGAGAATTAAAATCCCAATTACATAGCCAAAATGATCATAAAGCAACTTCTCAAACGTCACCCTTACTGTAACTCTCCCTCCTATGCTTTCTTTGTTTACTTGAAGCTCTTCTCTTCAATCCCATCTACTTATTCTTGCTCTGATATTGAAACCCAACTGAGGTTTCTTTGTGATAAATCGAATCCTCAGATTTCAGAGGCCGTTTCGCTTTTTCGGGGTTCCATCGATTCTGACCGCTTGCCTTCTGGGGGAGCCTGCAATTTGCTTGTGCACACTCTCACAAGGTCGAAAAATTATGAATTGGCGTTTTCGGTTTATAGTAAGATGACCCATGTTGGTATTTTTCCGAGTTTTATATCATTGAGTTGTTTAGTTGCATGTTTTGTTAATACCAATCATGCCAAATTCGCACCTGGGGTCTTGGGATTGGTATTGAAGCGTGGATTTCAGTTAAATGTGTATGTTGTGAATCTTATGTTAAAGGGTTTGTGTTCTAATGATGAGGTTGAGAAGGCAATGGAGCTGTTTAGTGTAATGGGAAGAAATTGTGTAATCCCGGATATTGTTAGTTACAACATTCTTATACACGGGCTCTGCAAGGCAAAAAAATTGAAAGAAGCCACAGAATTGTTGGTTGATATGGAGATGGCAGATTCTGACCCAAATGTGAAGACATACAGCACTTTGATCGATGGATTTTGCAAGGATGGCAGAGTGGATGAGGCAATGGGTTTGTTGGAGGAAATGAAGCAAAAAGGTTTGGAACCGGATGTTGTTGTGTACAGTACCCTTATAAGTGGTTTTTGTGATAAAGGGAGTTTTGATAGAGGCAAAGAAATTTTCAATGAGATGCTAAAGAAGGGTATTCCTCCTAATGTGGTTACATATAGTTGTTTCATACATAACCTCTCCAGGATGGGGAACTGGAAAGAAGCCATTGCGATGTTAAATGATATGACTAAGTGCGGAGTTCGCCCTGATACTGTTACTTATACAGGCTTACTTGATGGGCTTTTCAAAAATGGAAGGGCTACAAAAGCCATGGAGCTATTCAATTTAATGTTATTGAAGGGTGAAGAGCCTAACACTGTAACATACAATGTTATGATTGATGGACTATGCAAGGAAGGGTTGGTCGATGATGCTTTTAAGATTTTGGATATGATGAAGGGTAAGGGGAAAAAGCCTGATGTAATTACATACAACACGTTACTGATGGGACTTTCTAATGATGGGAAGGTTGATGAGGCCATGAAACTTTACAGTACAATGTCAAAAGACGGGAACTTTGTTGAGCCAGATGTTATAACTTATAACATGCTAATTTTTGGACTCTGCAAGGAAGGCGATCTTGATACGGTTATGGAGATTTGTAATACAATGGTTGAAAGGGGCATTGCTTGTAACATATTTACTTATAATGCTATGATAGGTGGATGTCTACAGGAAGGATTAGTGGGCAAGGCCATAAAGTTCTGGAGACATGCACTTGACTTGGGATTTGTTCCGAACTCAATTACTTATAGTCTCATGATCAATGGATTTTGCAAAACTCATATGCTTAAGTTTGCAAAAGGACTTTTTAGCAAAATGAGAGCTTCTGGGGTTAATCCTACTTTGATTGACCACAATGTTTTGATGCTGTACTTGTGTAAGGAGGGTAGTTTGGGGCAAGCTAGGATGTTATTCGAAGAGATGAGGAGTACAAATTGTGTTCCGAATCTGGTCTCATTTAATACAATTATTGATGGAACTCTCAAAGCGGGAGATATTAAATCTGCTAAAGACTTGCTAGAGGACATGTTTAAAATGGGTTTAACTCCTGATGCAATTACCTTTTCCACATTAGTAAACCGATTTTCAAAACTTGGGCTTTTGGATGAGGCTAAAATAGTTCTTGAGAAAATGATTGCTTGTGGTCTTGAACCTGATGCCTTTGTATTTGATTCTTTACTAAAGGGCTATAGTTCAAAGGGTGAATCAGAAGAAATCATTAGTTTGCTTCATCAGATGGCAGACAAGGGTGTTATTCTTGACTCAGAAATCACTTCTACCATCTTGTCATGCCTCTGTCAAATCTCAGACGATTATGATGTGATGAAAATTCTCCCAACTTTTTCTCAAGAAACATCGAAAGGAGCAAGCATCTCCTGCAATGAGCTATTGATGAAACTCAATAAATCTTACCCAGAACTTAAATTATAAGCTGCTTGATGTTCTTCATCCCAAGAGCTTCCAATGTAGTGAGAAATCTGCAGCCAGTGCTATATTATGTAAGTATTGTATTGTCTTTCATTTTGTACAATTTTGGAATGTACCCCATTTATTCTTTTCTCATGGAATGGCCTATTTCCGGATTCAGGATGAATTGGTTTTGAAATATAAAGTTAAGATTGAAATTTGTTGTGGTTTGGTTGGTTATGTAGAATGGTACATTCTTTTGTCACTTAGGATTTTGTTTCTCTGAATATTATGTTTGTAGTGTTTTCCAGCTTTGCCTCCTTCATTACTATATAAAGGAATCTATATATGTCCATTTGCATTATTCGTTTATTATTTACTTTTGTATTTTGGAAGGATAGAGTAATTGCAGTATCAAAGCATCCTTTTATCTAACATTAGTTATGTATGTATTTTATTTATTTATTTTTTGGATATGCAGGATTAGTAGCTGAGAAACTAGAATGAGGAAGTTCTGAGCGGAACTACCACTTTTAAAAGTATGTATTCAAAAGGATCTGATTTGATTATCGGAGCTTGAATATATATAATATATCTTGAATTGTTATTCTTGCCTTCATCATATTAAACAACATGAATAACAGTAAGAGTGCATCTGCATTTGAAGGCAATTCAGGCCTTTGGACGTACGATACTGATTATTTAAATTTATGTATCTTTTATTTGTTTTGGCTGTTTCTGGCACTTGGTTGTACTTTTTTGGTTTTATATATGTTCCATCTTCTGTAGTTACACGTACATTGGCATGATAAGAGACCAAAACTCATGCGTTTAATATCATGTTTTGGCACCTTTGTTTTCATCCTCTAATCGATTGTGATTTTGTTATCGTGGCACCTCCATAATGAATTACGTAGAAGGGGTATTTATAATAATCTGACCCTAGAGTGAAAAGGAAAATTAAACTTATTCCAGGAAAGAAATCCTACTGAAATCTGGAAAAAACTAGAAACCCTAATGAAATCTGGAAAACTTAAAGAACCTAGGAAACTAATTAATAATTCCCTCTTCCATCTCTTCGTTTGTAAACCCTAATGGGGTTGACAAAGATGTCCTCATCACATGATCAGGAGGTGCTGCATTTGCATTACGTAATCTTGGGTAAAGAAGCATTTCACATATGTTGTTTGCTAAATGGTTCTTGCATTTATAATTTGAAAAATGCTCTGTGTGTAAATTTTTTTGGTCCATTAAGGATAGTTGACGGGATGCATGTCAAATGCCAGGCAATCCAAGAGGTAGAACATGGATGGAGGTATTTTTTTGGGAAGTAAGAAAATGTGGCCTCATATTCATGAAAAATGACGTCATTTCTGGCCTCTGCTTACATGTCCACCACATGACTGGCATGCTTTCCATCAAGGATCTTTAATGGAAATTTATCCTACCATTAAACTTCTCTTTTGACAGAGGAAAAGCCCTTTGACAATGCATACGTTTTCAACAGTCAAGCATTCCTTTGCTAGTCATTCTTCTATTTGGCCAAACCCCTTTATGAAAAAAATATGGTATAAAGGATTTGCCCCATTTGATATATTATCAGCCAAAGAGAAAAAAAAAAATATATATATATATATATATATATATCTTATTGTGTTATAAGACTTTTGTAAACCCAGGTTTACTGTGGAATGGCATAAAGTCCTTTTCTGAGATGATTCTTTAGTCATCATTATCAGGTGACTAAACCCAGATTTTGTCAAATTCACTAAGCGCCTTTCTGAAGTGGAGCTTGTTGCTTGCATATTGCATATGGCCATTACAGTAAGAATAAAAGCCACAAATGCTCAGCAATAATTCATCATTGTTTTTTATTTTTCCACCAGTTGTTACTCCTCTTAACAAATTCAGCTAGAATTGAAGCTTTGGTGTGGTTTGAAATCATTCCATGTGAAGAAGTATTATGCCTACCTGGTATAATGACTTAATTTATCAGTATGCTAAGAGTTTTTTGTCCATACTGTTTCTTTTTTAATATATTATTTGTTACAATTCCCTTCCCTCTCTTATGCAGTTGCATTTTTTTCTCCATGTAGCATGGATTCATTGGTCATAGTGAAGCTGCGCGGTGTGCTGAGATTCAGATAAAGAAATTAGTTGGGACTTGATCCGTCGTGGCAAATCTTGGAGTCATCTCCCTTGTCCTTCAGCTTGCAGATGTGGTGAAATTTGTTTGAGGAATGTCGTGCAGGTTGGGTGATTACAAAAGGGTTTTACGAGTCACAAAGTATGCAGTTGAAGGTCTAGGGAAAAAAGCAAGGCAGGCAAAATTCTTTTGGGGTCGCAGGGTGTGGTATTTTTCAATCACGTGGAGAAAAATATTGACTTTTGGGATTATTCAGGGGTGAGTGTGGATGAACTTATGGATCAAGTTAGTTATTGGCATGCACTTCAGCTTCAGTCACTGTAGAGTTGAGGAAGTCTCCCTTGTCAGCATTGTTGCTGGATTTTGATGCATTCTGGCTTGACTTTGGAGGTCTGATTTTTTTATTTTTTGTTTTCTGTAATTTAGGCAGATTAGAAAGTTTTATTATGTTGATGTCATTTGAAACTGGACTCCTTGTCCAGAGTTGTTCTATCTGCCATTCTCTTTCATAAAATTATGTTTCTTTTCAGAAGAAAAAAGGGAAAAGAGAGCAAAAAAGGTGGTGTTGGCTGTATTTTACGAGAGCATTTTTGCTCACCACCCGTAATTGGTGGTGAGCATTACCACCATGTTAATGATTGTTGATGAGTTGAATTTTTGTGGTTCATGTAGCAGCGAGATTAAATCACACTCATCCAACGATCACCAAAATTTGAAGAGAGTGGTGGGCAAAAATGTTTTCACATTTGCCAACAGGTTCAGCTGAAGCTGTTTCTCCGCAAATGATGTAACAACGCACATGGGGTGCATATTGAGGTTGTACAAAAGACAACGTATGTGGTGCATATTGAGGTTGTACAAAAGACAGGTTTGCATCTTGATGAGGTTGTCCTTCGTACGCAGTAGACATCATTTGCAAAATGAGAGACCTAAATATGGGAGATCCCACGATAAATTTGTGAAGTTTCTTGTTTGGTTAATCTAGAGGCGGGATGGGGGTGGTGCAAGGTTACTATGATGCAACAATTTGTAATTATATTATTTCTAATATTGATGAAATAATTTCTATTATATTATTTCGAGTACTTCAAATATTGATCAATTAGTGTTCCCCCATGATATCTTACAAACTATTGGTGCTATACGTATTCCAATTTATCCCACAGAATATCAACTTGCTTGGGGTCCTTCTACTTCTGGTAAATTTTCTATTAATTCAGCCAAACGTCTTCAAATTACTCATAGTAGTTCCTCTCTACATTCTTATTTAGCTCGCCCTTGGAAAATAAAATTATCCCCAAAGATAATTTGTTTTTTCTTGGTTGTTTTTACAACTTAGACTTAATGCTTGGTAACGACTCTCATTTTCTTCCTATTTCTAATCTTTTTCCATTTTGCAACCTTTCTCCTGGATCTTTTACTCATTTTTGTTCTACATGTAACTATTCATATCAACTTTGGAAGCATCTTAACTACGAGTAGTTTGCATACGCATTATAATATGAGTGTACAAGAAGGTTGATAAAATACTTTATGAGTATACTTTCCTTTTAGGAAATAGTATCAATAAATATCCGTTTCTACTATAACACGTGGACAAGTTATATCATGTAACCATATTACCGTACTATCCTATAATCTCCAACAAGTCTCTCTGATGTGGAGTATATATATAAACTTGAATACGTTCGTCACCATTTTCGTACAAAATGTCATAAAATGTAAAATATATTAAATAATTAATAAGCTTGAAAACATTTACCAAACCTTAGGGAAATAATTTATAAACAATAAGTCAAATAATCAAGCGCTTATCAATCATTGTGGTTGGTCAACTAACATACATGGTTCATGAGTTGACACTTACCAAACCAAAGGAAATGTGTCATAACCTCCGACTTGAAGTTTGCCGTCAGGTTTTCTAAAAGCTTATTTGTAGAATCTGTTGTTCGACCGGACCTTTAATTGGCGTGTTAAAGTTGGTGATAATCAAAGTTTATTTTACATCCTAACTCTTTTTTTAGTTAATTAAGTTGACACCTAATGTATATGCATCACCCAAACTTTCTATACATAAAAAAAAAAACAAAAAACAAAAAAAACAAAGTCTACTTATAGAATATTTTGTCTAATTAATATTCACCAATTATTAATTACTTTTTATATGCAAAAGAACAAGAACACGGCCTTCAGAAGTTAAGGTACACCACTAGGGTCTAATAGCATGCCAGAGACAGAGATCTCTAATAGTCAACTAGGAAAGCTTCACAAAACAAATTGAGCTTATGAGAAAGAAGCTTGTAAAAACTATGGTTTTGGATATTGAAGTAAAATGATTGATATAGATCCACTACCAACTATTTAGCTGGTTAGGTATTTGATTTTGTCAGCTTAGCCAGGTCTGCTGGAGCGAATATCCTCCTTATTCTAGACTCAAGTTGACAATTTAGCTAAGTCAGCTAAAGTAAATGTGCTCTCCATTCTGGATCGAAGTCAACAACTTAATCTAGTCAGTTAGAGCAAATGTACTCTCTACTTTGAACTCGAATTGATTCCATGTGTATAAGATTCGACTAAAGTAGAATAGTATATAAAAAAAAAGTATCTTATTTTGTAATTTTCCATCTTCGGTCCCTTTTAAGTTAAAATTTGAATTAAAATGTGATATGGTAATGGGATTGTCGATGATCCTCTTTATGATTTTGCTTCTTATTATTATTTTTTAAAAAGTAGCACCCTTAATTTGCTTTCGGCTTACTAAATGATTTTTGTCTTCATTACATCCGTCTAGTCTTACCGCAATGAACGCATGTCTAGTACGTGGCACCAAGAAGATGACCAACTTTTGAACAAGGAAGAAAAGAAATTATTTAATATATATTCAATCAAATGTAAAAAAGAAAAAAAAGTTTACAACCCCATAAACACTTATCTGCTAGAGATCGGAGAGAGAAGAAGATCAAGAATGAAGATCATCTTCATAATCTATGGGCAAAAGGGTCTGCCTAAGCGAGCCCTATGACTTGGAATGGTGAAGTGCCTAATTCTACCCTCTTGTTCTCTCAAGTATCCTTCACAAAGGAAAGCCTTTGAGAATTTATCCTCTACATTTCTATCCACATCATGCACAAACACATCAGTCTCCCCTTCCTCTCTGTTCCTCCCCAACAACCCAGCTGTGTATATGGCACTCATTCTGCCTGGAGCTCCATCAAAGTACCCTGTGGGTGCATCCACCATGATCAAATCCCACTCTATATCATACACCTCACTTGGCCAGTTCTTGAGGGCCAATTCACACTTTGAAAATCTTGGATCCCCAACAACTTTGCACTGTTCCTTCATCCCAATCTCCATGAGCTTGTCTGCTTGGTGAACCTTGGTGTCATAGGAAACATGGTAGGCCTCTAAGTTGGGTAGCTTTTGTTGGATTTGCTCAATCCATGACTTATCTTCTTCCAAGAAAACTGTTCTTCCTCCATGGTTGAGAGCTGTCCACATCAAGCTGTCAAGTCCAAGGCCAAAGACTAGGAAATTGCAGGGTGATTTCTTTTGTAGGATTCTGGATGAGACTGATATTTCTTTGATGGTTTGTTGTGGGGTGATGTTTGTTGTTGCATAGTGAATGATGGCATTGGCTAGGGAAGGTGGGGTTTTAGTGCATGTTGGGATGAAGGGTTGTTCAAGGGAAGGGCATGGTGTTGAGGATTGTGGGGATTTGGAGTGAGGGGTTGAGGTTGAGAGATGGGCTTGGGAGATGTTGATGGATGTGGATGTGGATGGGGTTTGGAGGGGAGATGAGAAGTTTGATCTGATTATGAAGATGGTGAAGAGGAAGATGAAGAAGCAGCAGAGGAGGATCAGGTTGAGATTGATGCCACATTGAGTTTTGGACCTCATGGTTCTTGATTGATGATGAGAGAGAGAGACAGAGAGAGAATTGAGGTCTTGGAGGTTTTATTGAAGGGGAGAATGGATGAAGAGAGGGAGGAGAGAGGGCATTGTTTGTTTCCTGCTTTTCATAAGGAGGCAGAGGGAAATAGTGGAAAGCTGGTACCTGAGAATTAGATATTTTTTATATGAGTAAAGCTGGAATAGTAGTAGATCCATGGTAAGGTATCATGCACCATAAAAAATGCATTAGCAGAAAATAATGCTCAAAATAATTCCAAAGGGAGAAGCTTTTTTACCCTCACATCTACTATAAAATACATAAATAGCTTCCTAATCATGATATAATTTTATGGGACCCACCCAGGGTTGTATATTATTGTCTTTTTAAAAGGAATTAAGGAGAGAGAGAGAGAGAGAGAGAGAGAGAGAGGCAATGATTATTCTATATTGTGGTTTCTAAAATCTTCATCTTAGAAGTGAAGCAAGATAGGTTGTTGGAGGCTTGATTTAGACTTAGCCTATTTTTTTCGGTTGGTAGAAATAATAACATGGTTGGTATTGTTTGTTGGATATATCTCTTGACTTCTTTCTTCTAGCTGATAGAAGATGTGATGTATTCGGAGAGGTTGTTGATAAGAGTCATAAAAACATGATATTGCCTTTGATTATATAATGTCTTTTGAAGCCTTTTGAACATGGAGTAGTTATAAACAGCCCTTGATCTCATTTTATTGATGTTTTGGATTGAGTTTTAGACATCTGTTTAGCACAAAATTGGAACTTGGTCTCTACATTGTTACAAGACTTTGAGAAGACTCCATAGTTTTTTTGTTCCTTCCCTTTTTCTTTTTGTTACTGACAAAACTCCATAGTTGTTGAATTAGATTGCACGTTACGGTCCAATCTGACATCTGCCTCATCAAAAGAGGCAGACGTGTTGACGTTCTATTTTCTCTTAAACACCTTTTGTTGTTCACTAGTGTGTGAGGCTGTGTTTTATTGTTTTTCATTGTGTGTGTGTGGCTGTTTTTATTGTGTACATAATCACGTTTATCTTTATAGATTAGAGTAAATAAAAAGAGTTATTTAATCATGTGGGCTCCTTAAAAGTGAATAAAAAGAAGGAACATATTAGGCTCCTTATATGCTTATATGCGAATCGGTATAGATCAATTAGTTAAGTTTTTTCATCTTCATATATGTGGGTTAGAGATTTGATACTCTAGACGTCTAATGAATATTTGTGTAAACTTTCCTTCTTTAATTGCTTGTACTAAAAAAAATTCTTTATTTTTTCAAACAAATCACAATTTGACATGTGTGTCGAAACTTTTCTTTTTCTAATAAAATTTTATAACACCATATTATTTAATACAACATATAATAATATAATAACTATAGGACATGAGTTTCACAAGCTATATGAAATCAATTAAAAAACAAATGTGTCATCTACATATCGGGTTAAATTCAGCTAGAGAAACATATATTATGCGTACATATTGTAAAATTTACACATATCACCTAGATTTTTGGCCTTCAAAATAATTTTAAATTTAGTAGGACACGGATTCTTATTTAAAAACCATGCAAAGGCGACGAACATGACACCACACATTTTTACATATACTTCTCTTTTTCCCCATTTATCTAAATTTTCTGCTTTGATTTTCTTTGCTAGAAACTGCTTCACTTCTCCTCTCCACATGCCACATCATTCCTTAACAAATTTATCTTTTGTTTTCAAATTTCAAGGGCATATATGAAAACTGAAATTGAAAAAAGAATAAAAAAGAAAAAGGGTCTGACGAGAAAACAATTGGGTCCAAAAGACTCTTGGCCTTCACGTTATAACCTTCTTTGCCGCCAAAAGAAGGAAAAAAACCGCAAAACCCTACTGCTCCTTCTCGTGGTCTCCGACTGTGAACCTCCACAGAGCTAAGCTTTTTGTCTCCAGTCAACAACAAAGAAACAGAGCAGGAGCAATGAAGTTCGCAGTGAAGGCATGGAGCAGCGGAAAAGCGCGGGCAGGGGTGCTCCAGCTGGGCAGCTGCCCGGGCCCAATAGAGACCCCTTCTCTTCTCCTCTCTACTAGAAAGGGCCTGCCTCATTTCATCCCCCCTGACCTTCTTTACTCTCTTCCTTCCCCTGATTCCCATCTCTTCCATGTTAGCTCCCTCCACTTGTAAGCATTCATAGCCTCAGCCCTTATCTTCTTTCTACTTTTTCCACACTAGAATTGCATTCTAGCTGTTTGTGAATTGGTTTGTGAGAAAAAAGATTCCAACTTTTTTCAATTTTTTTGCTTCTGCAGCTTGGAAGGCCTCTCGCCACAAACAATATCAAAGATAGGAGGCTTGCATCAGATGCTTGGTTTGCCGGAACACGGGTTCGTCTGCATACCAAGGGACTCTATTCAATGCCTTCCAGAATGTAATAGCAGTAACAAATTTGGAGCATCTTTTGAGACTCCTTGCGGTCGCCGTTTGGTAATTTTTCTGTTTGTTTTTGAGTTAATTATGGTGACCCTGGTGACTGATTGTGCAGTCTTTTTATATGCTTGCAGATTAAACCAGTAGAGTATGTTGAGTTGATTTCTTCCTTGAGACCCAATATATGGACTACTTTGGCTGATGAAGTTCCTACGTGGGTATCAGAGAAGAGGAACAAGACCTCAGTTGATCGAACTATTAGATGGCTTGATGAATGCATTGCGCTAAATCCGGTAAAACACCTAACTTTTAGAGATGTAACCAGTATTATATCTACATGCATATGCACTCACTTCACTTGCATATGGGATACATACAAGGTGTGCTGCTAGCAAACCTAGCAGTTGGCGTTCTGTGAAGGGAATGTTCTAACTGAAAATAGATAGAAATTAACAACCTCAAAAACTCTTTGGAGAGTTGCGCTTACTCATAAGTCCAGGAAGTCAAGCAAACCACAGATATTGATGGAAATATAGAAAAAGGCCTCTAGGGATGAGTATTTTTGCCACTTAAGTTAAGCCTCTGAAAACAGATACCAAGCTCCTCGGGTGGAAAAAGTTACTTGATTTATACAAACGTCCTTAATATTCCAGTGTGATAGCAAATTTGTGTACCTTAGCTTCTACCAAGTTTTCATTGGAGATTGATTTTCAATTTGATTATTTATAATTGTGAAAAGTGGTAATCAGCATTTCTTTGAGTTTCAATATGATTGACTTGATGCCATAAATGGTTTACTCAATTATAAATTATGGAAATATATTGATTCTCCAAAATGTAGGCAGGTGGACCTGTCTTTGGATCCATTGTTGGAGGGTGTTCTGTAAAAGAACGTGAACGATGTGCGCAAGAAGCGGCCCGCAGAAATTTATCAGGTTTCTGCAATTCTTCATTTCTTCTTTTTGTTTTTTGGACTCGTATGTTGTAACATTTCTAAGAACTCATTTGAATTTCTTTTTTCAAGAGAAGCGAAATATTATTAAATCAAGGAAACTCTGTACAAATTGTGGATAAGGAATCCTTGTCCAAAATTACATAGACTAAGAATAACTTTAAGATCAATTAAAAACGACTGAAAACCTAACAAAAACATCTGGACCACTAAAAGAAAATGGTAAGTCCAGGCATGGGAAATGGTTGCCTGGCACATGGGAAAATAGGGGGGAAAATGTAACCCTCCTCCCCCCTTGGGTTTCATTTTCCCTTCCCATGGGGAACTTTGGGAAAATGGGCCAACATTAAATGCACATTTTTTATGACCATTTTGTTCCCATTAACAATATAGAATTACAATATAGCATTAAATGTATTCTTTTTTTATTTGATTTCAGATGGGTATAATTGGAAAATTACACAAACTTTGTTTTACATTCCTACCAAACCAAACATGGGAAAGGAAATAAAGTGGCATTTCCTGGTTACTTTCCCTGCATTACCAAACATGGGGAAGGAATCTTCCATTTCCCATCCCTTGGGAAAGACATGGGAATTATTTCCCATCAAATCTTTTCCGCAAACAAAACGAGGCCTAAAGGAATTGGGCTTTAGTAGGGGGTTTCCAATAATTTCCTGAGCATTTAAATCACTGAGATACATAAGAAACCAGAATTCATTTGGATTTCTTGTGTATTTATAGTTCTAGTAGCTTGATGTATATTTAACTATACTGGCATACAATTGATATGAAAACATCTTTTTCCCAGGTTACTGGATCGGAGGTTTTGGGCTTGGAGAGAGCATGGATGAGCGCCCTGCTCTCCTTAATGCTGTTACTGTAAGTCACAAGCTGGTGGAACCTTCAATTTTCCCCTGAACTTGATCAATGACTTGCGTGTCTTGTTTTACATGCAGCATTCTTATTTTTCATATGTCAAAAAAGAAAACATAAAACAGTTTATGTTTTCCTTTTTTATTTTGATATCTAATAGTCGTATAAAATGTTCAGGATATCTTACAAGAGGAGAAACCACGCTTGATCACTGGACTTGGACTTCCTGGTAAGAGGTGTACCATTGTTACAATGAGTTGTTGGTCTTACCAATCCCTGTTTGAGACATCTAGACTTCTGAGGGAATTCTCATGGTTTCAATTAAGAATATACTATGTTATCTGTATCACTTGCCGCACATATGAAATGAGGGTACAGTGTTAACATACTGTATGACATTTAATCTGTCATCTTAACTATCAACTGAGGAGTGGTGTGTATCAAGTTGGCTAATAAGTGGATTTGGTGGTGGGAAGAAGGCAAAGATCTTGCGGGGATGCGGTGTGTTGGTGATTTGGACGGAAAAAAATGGCCTAATTAATTTATTGTGGAAAATTTTAGGAGTCTGAAGATTGCTTTTAGGATGGAATAAAGCCAGATTCTGTTCATTACTTTGGCCATCAATCGCTTCCCCACTTTGCAAATTCCCTTTCTTTTTCTTAAATTATGGAACTGGTTCCAGGTTTTTGCTTGTAGTTTGTTTGATTACTTTTCTGTTTTCTGTTAGGATTGGTGCTGTTTTGTTCCTTGTTGTGTTCTTGATATTCTGTTTCTTGTAGTTCGAGGGTGGTACTTTTTGGGGATGGCTGGTCCACTTTGATTGGGAAGTTAAAATTTAATTGTCGTCCCTATCATTGAAAAGGAAAAAGTTGGCTAGTAACTTCAGTTTTGCAGTTGTTAGGAACTTAGGGCAATGCGTTAAAGGAAAATGTTTGCAACATTTAAATGTACCTTCGCTTAAATACCTGGTTGGTTATTCATTCAAATTTATCAGCAAATGAACTTATGCTTTTATCTTACAGAGGAGATCTTGCAGGGGGTTGCTGCAGGCATTGATGTCTTTGATTCTACGTGAGTAGCTCAGTGTTCTAACAATTTTGAATATCTTTATCCTTGTTACCGTGATTCAAAAGGTGATGATATGTATTTGCAGGTATCTGTGCCATCTTACCCTTGGTGGCTTTGCACTTACGTTCCCACTAGATGGAGTTGAGATGAATACATCTGATAATATAGGAAGTGACCAGACAAAGATTAATTTGAGAGCAACAGTTTACAGGTAAATGATGACTTCTCTGTCTACTTGCTGCACTAACAGTGTTTACGAGTTATTGGTTTCAGATTTCGTCTATTAGGTTCAATTTTAGCTAGTAGATTACCAAGTTTGACTTTATGAACTTGTTTACCCAACACCTAATATTAGTTATCCGTTCTAGATGTGTGTGTATATAGCGAAATGCTCTCTTGGCAGATTGTGAAGTTGGATAATTGATCTGGTTAATTCTTGCTTAAATGTGCAGTCCTGATTTGTAGAACATCGTCCTATATAATACTAGTAACTTCTACTTTAAATCCTCCATCATTCAGGTGTATACACTAGCTGCTTCTCCAAGCCACCTTGTACACCCCCTGATTAACTGGTCAGGAATCACACAAGGGGTTTTCTTCTTCCTCTAAATCTTCTTTCTCAAACACTATCTCTCACTTCGACTGAAGGGTTCACGCCAATTTTCTCAAAAATTCAATTTACCTCTTCCACATCCAACCACGGATGTGATACCACTTGACATGAGAAATATGACATAAGGCAATTAGGCACATGACATTTGTAAGTGATTTTGAAGAAACTATTAGTCTGTAATAAAAAAAAAGTAGTAAAGTAACATTAAAGAAAACAAAACAGAAGTCGTTGATTATATAAAAGTAAAGAACTAGGAAACGGCAACTTGTAGGCTTATTTGGGCTTAGCATTTTCTGCATTGCATTGTCATGAAGGGTGCTGTGTTTTGTGAATAAACTTCTTGAAGTCTTACCATATTTTTTAAATCATTTATTGTCAAATGGATCCAAAAATAATTGATGCAGTTATTCTTAACCTGATAAATTTTCCTTTGTTTTGTTTTTCAGGAAAGATATATCACCAATTGTTGAAAATTGTAACTGCTATACGTGCAAGAATCATACAAAAGCTTACATCAATCACCTGCTCAATGTTCATGAAATGCTGGCTCAGACTCTACTAGAAATGTATGTGCTACATTGCTTCCAATAAATATTATTATGCTCATATCACCTTTGTTATCATCATTCATCCTAGTTGTCATCATCATCACCAGATCGTCCTTTAATTTTGCAGACATAATACTCACCATTATATAGGATTCTTCCGCTCAGTAAGGGAGGCAATTAAGTCCGGTAATTTTGAGCAATTCAGACAGAAATTTGTTGAGGGTAGATGTTACCATGTTGCTGCCGAAGCTGCTGCTGCCTGCATGTGAATTTGTTACTTAATTTCTACGTTGTAACTTTGAAGGAAGGGAGGGAGGGAGAGAGAGAGAGAGAGAGAGAGAGAGAGAGTGTGTGTGTGTGTGTGTGTGTGTGTTTTACAATTAGATTAGATTGATGAACAAGTGGAATAGTGAAACGACAAGGGTCGCTTTCAAATCAGTGTAAGAACTTTTCATCTTATCCCAATTTGGTAATTCCCAAGCGATTCAAAGAGTTGTAGTTCTCTCTGCAGTGTAGCTCTCTGTTTTGCAGGCTGTACTACAGCGAGTAGTAAATTTGGATATATAAAATTTGGTAATTCCCAACCGAACCAAACCGAGCTGTAAAAAAAATCAAAAAATTTGGTTTTGGATTGAACGGATTTTTCCTGTATTTTTTTTACTTGTTTTCGTTCAGTTACCAATTTACCCGGCACAAATGCGATGGATGGAACTAAAACTTACAGGACAAAAAGACAGGAGATTCAGGACGAAGTTTAATGAGATATGAGGTTACATTGGGATTTGACAGAGATCATTAACATCCTAAAAATAATATTACTATGTTGTGCTAAATCCGTTACACCCAAAACATTGTGCAGATACGCATAGTTGGTGAGACGTAAAATGAAAAAAAGAAAGAAAAAAAAGACAGAAACTTGAGAAGTTGCCACTTGCTACTTTCTAATGGTATCCCTGGTTAAAAGGTGTACTTTTTTCCTTTTAATTATTTTATAACAATTTTCTGTATTCTTTTTTCCTCTTTCTGTACATTTTTGTGCAAAGGTTATGGCAAAGAATGGTCTTTTTAAGGCAACCTACATTATACGAGCATGGCACGAGCACGAATTTGGTTGTAGTGGCTATGCTGGGTCTAAAACCTAGCATGACACCCCATAGAAAGCATGAATGTGCCAATTTAAATGCATCAGGTCGGTCCAAGTGAAAATCAAAATCGTCCCTAATCTTCAAGAAATAGCACCCATGCCGGATACATAATTTGTTGCTAACTAACAGATTCAATTAAACAGAAACACTAGAGACAATTTGCGGCCAGTTTATTTGTTATCAAAGTAGTCCTGGAAATCAAAGATAGGAGATTTTGTTGTCATGAGTCTTGACAATATATTAAGTCACATAATAACACAAAACAAAGCTTAATTGAAATGTATTCTTAGAAGTTTTTCCACCACAAGTGATGTTGTCATAGTCAACTATTGTTTTCCCAAGGTACCAGAATTATTCAGATTATATGACCAAAGGCAGAAGAAAAGCTGCTAAAAGCATGCTTGTTTGCTTGGTCGTCAACAATTCATGATCAGCAAAAGGAAACATAGACAATTCAAAGCAGATATTGCCATATCTTCAAAATTGGTGCAAGTATACAAATATGTGTGGAACACAAAGCCTAAGGGCAATTAACCACTTCCTATTGCCACTAAAATTTGGTTACAGAATGTACATAAGAGTAAAAATCAAGTCCATTTTGATTTTCACATGTTAAACCACTTACAACTGATTTTGAAACTATACAATGGCTGCTGAATATGTCTGGAACAAGTAAGACAGGATCTTCTTGTAGTCACCAACTTGAGTACCAGTGTTGGGATCAATCAGGTAAGGAACCTATAAGAAGACAATTTTCTTAGTTTCATCCTTGGGGCTTTCAACAGGAGATCACCATGCACAGAGAAAAATAGTCTGAACTTACAAGAGACTTGGATGGATATTGAAAACGTTTAATAATTAATTTTTTACCTGAATTGTTTGTTCTCTTAAGTAGGGCCTACCACATATACCAAAATTAAAACCAAAAGCATTTACAAGCTGTTAAGAGAATTACTGCATAATTGAGCGAAAAGCGCAACAGAGCTATGAAAATCTCATTCATGACATAACTACCGCAGTAAAAGCTCAAGACCATTGGAAACATAGTAAAACCAGATTGCGCGGACAATAAGTCGTTGCCACATCATATCATGATCATGTGATATAAGTTCCAGTCAAACTCTATTGCAGCAGAACATCATCTAAGGGATCGTTGTTCTAAAAAACTAACCTCTTTGGATCCAGATGCATCTAGTGACTTCGATCGCAGGGAACCTTCTCCCACGTTTTGAAGGATGTAAGGAAGCTCCAACTCACAAAGTGCCTCACGCACAATTCGTGCATACTTGAAAGAAAGAAAAAGAAAAAGGATGGAGAAGAAGTGAAAGAAATTAGAAATTACGTAAAATGCCATAAGTCACTGTAAAAATTATGTACAAAGTACTAGCAGCATAGAATACAGAAAATGATTGTTAGATGATCCTGGGATTTGACCTCATCTGTAAATGTACAATGTCACACTGAGAAATTTTTGTACTGACAACTACAATTATATAGATCTTTGATCAATCACATGCCCTAATTTGTCCAAATGAAGGACAGGTCTCAAATTAAAGCAGACTGAAGGACCCGGATCCTGTCATTTCCCATCTGTCATTTTTTCCCCTCTCCCTCAAGTTCCGGCTGTTTGAGCACAGTAAAACAGAATGAAATGGCCATTATTCTATCCTTGGTCTGGAACATGTCTTTCATGCTATTGCGTACAAACCCCTTAGTCAAGGAAATAATGATGAAAGGACAACAATAAAACAGTAACCCTAGATTGTAACAAGAAACAGCAAAAGCTACACAAATATATGTGTGCTTCAACAAAATCATTTGTACTTCAAGGGAGAGTACCCAATTTCACCATGAGAGAAACCAAATTCATACAAATAATCTACACTCAACAATTGATTCCTAATCAACAACATATCTACCTGGATACCCTTGTACATCCTCCCCTTCCCATCTCTTCACACAATTGTAATGCTCTAGTGCCATCCCCATGATGAGAAAAAGCTACAATCATGGAATTCCTTGAAATAGGGTTCCTTTCAGGCATCAAAATGAAGACTTTGACCGAATCCTCCAACTCCAGCACACTTAAGAGTACATACATGTAAGCCCATTGGTGAGGAAAGAATGATAACAAAAAGACTGTGACAATTAAACAGCGGAGTTGCTTCCCTAGACCTACAGAATTATCTACATTGAATGCCTCAAGAACTGCTGGAACCATGTTTCGATAGTTTCAATCCCTGTCTTCTTGACCCTCAGGAAGGTTGAGGGTACCATTTTCTATAAGATAGACTAAATGGGATATTACCTTCAGGACTATCTTCGAAAAATTTACATAGCTTCTTTCTCTCAAACCGATTTGTTGCAAATCCCAAAAGGACATAGCTTCATGGAAACCTCATTGATTCTTCCATGAACTTAAAATTTCACCACACATCTTCCAGACTACTACTTTCTAAATACATGTCCATGAGTCCACATCAATAGACAAATCTAATTGAATTCCGGATTTCTTTACAGATCCATCCATTTGGCACCCTACTCTACTTTTTGAATGTGTGCCCAAGCGTCCACTACACAAATCTAATTGAATTCCCAATTCTAAATACATCCATCGACGTCCTACACTTAATGTCTGCAAACTAAAAATAATTTCAAAGAAACCAGTAAAGCATATGGAGGAAAAAGGAGGATCCAAGCCCAAATTATGAGAGCCTATATCCGTGTTCTCCTTGTAGGCAAACATAGACTGATTGGAAACAAACTACAATTCTCAATCTGTTATATATCCAACAAATATGAAAACATTTGGTGATGCATAAATCATGATACAATGGAAAACACTCAATGAAAGACCGTTATCTCACTGGATTATTTTCATATGAGTAAAGTTCCAGTTTTTTGGGTGGTGGGTCTCGCTTCGCCTTTTCCCACAATGTCATTCCTCTGCCTGCTCGAAAAATTGTTGGCATCCATCCTGTGAATAATGTGCTACAGGGAGCAACATTTAATATGAGCAAGAGAGACAGAGAAGAGAAGAGAATAGCCAGGTTAAACCACTTGTAATCAATACACACTTGATATCTCAAGTCACCCATTTAAAACATAATTTCTGTCATCTGTTTCCTACGGGCTTGATGCATATTAGAGTTAAGACCCATGTTAACTTCTTAAGTTGTTTTTACTTAGGCTGATGTATTTACAATAATTATCAAACGGGATCATTCTAGATTCAAAGCAACATATCAGCAAACTGATTCTTCATTAAAGCTAATAATTTATGTGATATTGGACAGAAAATATAGTTTTACTTGTGATTTATACTCGTACAGAAAACTTAACATTCTTGTCCTATGAGAAGAACTTGAGGATCAATACCTTTCCAAAAGCCCCACTGTAGGTTTTCTACCTTTACCGTATTGTTCAAATAGGTATTTCACAATTTCACCTATCATCAAAGGCAGAAAGAATGCAAATAAGACAACTTTGATAAAATCATTTCCAACAATCGAGATAAAACATGTATCAGCAATATTTTACAAGTATAACGTACTACCCTATACAGACTTAGTTAAAACTTAAAATGAGGTGCAGAAAAAGCTCTCAATTACAACATTTAGTTACATTTTATTTAGACATAAGAGCACTTGCTGATATTTCCCAGTCATGAGATTAATTATTGATTCTATGCCATGTCACAAAAGAGAAAAGAAAATTAGCTCAGTGAAAAAAATGATAATAGGGAAGTAAAAAGCTTCTCTAGAAACCAAGAATTACAAAGCATGATGACTTTCCTGATATAACCCAATGATTGAAAGAACTTTGGCATTCAAGGGGGAAAGCAGTTTGAAGATGTTCTATTTGGCCATCACAAAGACCATTCAGATGATTAGACTTAACAACCACAATGTAGAAACTCATTATGAAGGACAGAGTATCACTAAGTTTTGGAAAACACTAAATGATCCAATTAGCTGGCAAAATAAACAAGGTGGTCTATACACTGTCACAATAAATTGAATAATGTTTTCTTTATTTTGTGAAGGATAAACTTGGATGGAAGTAGGATAAGGAGAATACAACTGTACATTTCAACAACAAAATACATAGTTTTGAAAACACTGTGTGCACCCTTTGGACACAGACACAGGCAGATGCAGTTGTAATTGGCAAGTTTAGACAAGTTTGAAGGTATTTATGGTGGCTAATGCTTGAAGTAATCAGGTAACAAGTGGGCTATAAAGCATAAACCTATGAGTGACAACCTCATTTCACTGTAACATCTTGCCCTTAGTTTTTAATTAATATGGGTCCAAGTAAATTTATCCATACTCATATAGAAGACACAACAGCTTTGAATGTTTGATTTGCCACTACAATTTTCTTCTTTCCTTTTCTTGGCACACATAAAAAGTCGTAGTTCATCCCAGAACAGCAGCCAAAGAGACCTAAATATTTTGGTGGATGTGACTGAACAATTGATGAATTACACTGTTAATCATTATGTTTTCAACCGTTTGCATTATATCATTAAGGCCTTATTATCAAATTCTAATAAATGAGAAATATATTATTTTCAGCAAAATTAGTAGATAAGTGGACGTGGGTTAATCTTAGATTCAAATCTTCCAA